TTTCCCCATGGGTCTCCAGAGATGGTCTGGGAGGCCCCAAGCCCCAGGAAGAAGAGGTTCTTATTGAACACTTGGGAGCAGACATGGGTCAAACAGGCCCTCCCACTCCCCTCCCCATGACTCCCAGAAAGAGGTGCCGACGCCCGGGGCCACCCTCCCTCCATCCCCACCTGCTGTCCTCAACCCCGCTGTCGTGCCCCACCCCCACTGAGCTCTCTCTTGGTGCCCTCAGGACAAAGACCCCAGCCCTCACCCCTCACCATGTACGAGGGCCCTGGGAGATCGCCTCCCCCCTCTGCCTGCCCGGCCAGATGCCCCACACTCCTGGCCCTTACCCTCCAGGCAGGCCCAGAGGCTGCCTGGCCTCTCTGCCCACCCCCGCCCTGGAGCCCTGCTTGGCACCTCATGTCCACCTGTGGGCTCCCTGTGGCTGTACCTCCCGGATGCCTGGGGTCCAGCCCGGTGCCTACCCAGACGTGGCGATGAAGGGAGGGGCGAGTGTGGGGGGCTGGTCCTCCCAGGCCCCCCCAGGCTGCCCTGCCAACCACGCCTGGGCTCAGGAACACGGCACCGCGGCCCGGCCCCTCCTTCGTCTAAGATGACCCTGTCCTCAGACTGCGAAGCCCTGGTCAGAACTGGCCTTAGGCCTCCCTCGGCCTGGAGGCTACGCCGTGCAGAGACAGCCCAGACCTGACCCCGTCCCGGTCACGCCTCTGCCGCTCCGGGCTGGTATGCCCTCAGAATCAGGACCCTAAGAAAACCCCTGCGCAGGGGTGTGGTGAGGACAGAGGGTGCACCCGGCCGCACGGAGCGCTCCCGCATGGAGGCCGCCACCTTGGGTTTCGTTACCCAGCCCTTCCCCGCTTCCCAGCTGGGAGTACCCTGCGACAGTCCCTACGCACTGGAGGGCCCGAAAGCCCAAGATGAACTGAGAGGGCCCACGTGGCACTTCCCGGAGTGTGTCTGGTACTTCCGCATGCCCAGAGGGTGCGCCTCTGAGACTCAGCATCCCCCATAACATGAGCTCATAGCGGTTCTCCCATGCAGAGCCGGTCACACATGAGGGCCCACTGGGAGCCTGGAGGGGACAGTGCAGGACAAGAGAGGGACACCCCTCATCCCTGGTAGCAGCGGTGTGCCAAGGCAGGCGCTCCTAACCTCCAAGGTGCCTGCCTCTGGCACAGGGAGGGACCTCCAGGTATCCCCCTGCCCTGCCCAAGGAGACAGACAGACACCTCCTCCCCAGGCAGCCAGCTCTGTGACCAGCTTGTCTCCCCGCAGGTGCCGCTGCAGGCTCCGCCTTTGGCAGTAAGTACACACGTGGGTGGGGCGGGCGCTGGGCCCCTGCTCGGACCTCTGCATGTCCTGGAAACAGCAGGAGTGAGAAGAAGCCTCGACGTCCGGTGTCCCCCGGGCCTCTGTGCTCCCTCGTCTAGCTCCACTCCATCTGCTTCTCCCCATCTCACCACCCTCTGCCGTGTTGCACTGTCGCCTCGGCCCGCAGCCCAGCCACTGCGGGTCCCCAGGAGCTTCATTAGTGCTGCTTTGGAAAGTCAGGACTGTTGGCGGCCCCGTGGCCCCTGGGTGGACTCCCTGCTCCCCCCGCCCCCTGGGCCTCTTTGCTCATGCACGGCTGGGAGGAGAGCTTTCCCCACCAGTGGCAGAGTCCGCCCTGCAGCCCGGCCATGGGGCAGCCTCCCAGTGAGACCGTCCCAGGGCTCTGGTCATCAGGTCGGCTCAGGTCCCAAGGCAAGTCAGACAGAGAGGGCATCTGCTGGAGCTACCCCCCGCCCCCCACCTCCCCCGTTTAATCTGCGACCCCTCCCCCGGAGATCGACCATCTGTTCTGAGAGGCAGGGAAGGAGTTGCCAGTGTGGAATATTCAGCTACTGGCAGACCCAAGATCTCATGAAAGTTTCTGGGTGCACAATCACCTCCACCAGAGCTCTGTGGGCCCCCACCCGACTGACCCTGCCCACCAGGGCTGCCCCTGCTGGGATGCCAGTGGGCAGAGAGAACACCGAAGGAAATCGGAGACCGGAGGGCACCCTGTCCGTGCGGCCTCGTGAGCTGCGTCTCTTTGGCTTTCTTTTCCCGTCTCTCCTCAGGCATCCGCAGGTCCCGGAAAGACCCTGTCCCCAAAGCCCCCGTGGCCACCATGGCCATGAGGACGGACCCCACCACTCCTGCCCCCTCCACATCCACTGCCTGGGCCCCCCCGGCCCCCAGCACCCCACAGCCCACAGGTGGGTGCCTGGTGTAGCCAGGATGTAGCCAGTGACCCCTACTGTCCCACCCGCTCCTGCTTTTAGGTTTAGTCCCTGGCTCTCGTAAGGGAGAGGCTTGGCTCCCTCCCTGCTGGGCCCTAGAGCCCTGAGCTTGCCCACCCAGCCACCAAGCCCCAGCCAGGGGACTTGGGGTCAGTTCAAGCTCCAGAATCTTCCTCCTGCCCCTCCAAGGTGTTGTCTAAAAGGATCCCAGGCCAGTGTGGCCAAGTGGACAGGGACCTGGAGGATGCCGGGGGCAGCGAGGCCGCCTGATGTCCAGCCCAAGACAGGGCCTGTGACCATCGGCCCTTCTGCCTCAGGTCCCTGCCTCACCTGGCCCCCAAGGCTCTCTCCCAGCCCTTCGGCAGCAGGCCTCGGGGGACTGATGGAGCAGGGTAGCCAGCCAAGAGGGCAAACTTCTGGAACCCGCAAGGCAGAGGGGGCATCCCGAGCCAGGTTTAGAACTCGGATGGTCGTGTATGTGGCTGAGGTCGGGGCTGGGCCACCCACCTCCACACAGATCCCACCAGACGAAGCAAACGGGCACTGGATCCCTCCAGACATGTCTGTCGGGAGGCCAGGTGTGTGGCCTCCGTCCCTGGCGCATGTGCACAGCTGAGCACACGCTGAGGAACCTTGAGCCTGTTTCTGAGGGGGTGTCAGGGCAGCCACGGGGCAGACTGCAGAGCTAGGGTTAAAGAGGGAGAGGTGCGCCCAGCTGTGGCGGCGTGCACTGCCAAGACGCTGAGCGCTGCAGCCTGGGACCCATGGGAGGCCAGGGTTTGATTCCTGGTCCCACCTGTAGTCTAGGTGTGGTGTGTACACCTGTAGTTCTAGTGACTCAGGGAGGCTGGGACAGGAGGGACGCAAGTGCTAGACTGACCTGGGGACAGTGAAGGCATGGTGACGTGCTCTGTGGTCCCCACTGGGAGGCTGAGGCGGAAGGATCACGAAGCGACAAGAATCCTTCTGAGGCTGGAGGATCTAGACATGAGGTCTGCACCGTGAGGGTGGGCAGGAGGCACACGCTCCCCTGGCCACAGCGGCAGCACCCAGCGAGGCCATGGTCAGCTCCGTGTCTAGAGCCCTTGCCAGGCAGTGGGGCGGGAAGAGGAGGACATGGCTCCCACGTGACAGCCAGTGGCCTGAGCAGCCCGTTTCTGCGGGTCCCACCACAGCAGCCGAAGCCGGGGCCCAAGACCCTCAGTACACCTGGGTCCCCCGTTAGCCATGACGACCATCCCAGTGGGTGGCAGCAGCTCCTTGGGGGCCAGAGGTGGCCCGTGTCGTGGTGCCCCTTCCACCCAGCTGCGGAGACAGGCTCTTACCTCCCAGACCCACGGGCAGGAAGGTGGGGCTAGGGAGAAGCAGGTGGGTCTCATGGTGTGTACGGATCGGGAGGTGGACCGGCTGCAAGGCCTGGCTCACACAGCTCCCAGCGGGAAGGAACAGACAGGCTCTCCTCTGACCTTGGCCCCTGGCCTGGGCCTCTGCTGGAATATTCTTCAGGCACACCCTAGCAGGTCCCCGAGAGCCCAGCCGGGAGCCTTAGCCTCACCCCCACCCTGGAAGTCCTGAGTCTGAGACCACCTCCCTACAGGTGCTCGGGCTCTTCGGCTGGAGTCCAGTGAGCAGGGGCTCGAGTCTCTCCTGCCCGCCAGCGTCAGCCTGTCCGGAGGGCAGCACCCTCCCCCAGCCACGAGGGTGGAGGGGTGGACTGAAAACAAATGCCTTCGGGGCTAGTTGTGGCAAGGCTCTAATTAAGCCCCTGCCAGTTTGGGTCTGGCAGCCTCCTCACCGGACACCCACATTAGTGTCGAGTTGCTGTCCGGGCTCCGGCGCCCGCTCCCAGCTGGACGTCTCCGCGTGCTTTAGCTGGTGGGTTTTCATCCTCTTTCCCCACCAACCACCATTGTGTGTAATCCCTTTAAGAAGCAGAAAACACCAGACGTCTATACAGTCCCTCTGGGGCATCTTTCGAGACTCCGAGCAAGGCAGTGGGCTCCTCTGCCAGCCAGCCCGCCTGCCCTCCCGCCGTGCGCCCAGTCAGTCCTGGAGCTGAGCACTGGCACTTGGTGTTGGGGGGTCGCTCATGTTGAGCCCCCTGATACAGGCCAGGGAGACGTGAGGGTGTTGAGTGTCAGGGACTTGCCAGCGACCCAGGAGTCAGGTTGGATTTGGGGAGTGGCTCTGGTCCCTAGATGGGAGCTGGACAGCCTTGGAGGGCCTTTCTGGAAACGTCTATTCCTTGGCAAGAGCACGTGTCCCCCATTGCAGCCAGTAGCAGAGATTTCAGAGAGGTCTGGACCCAGTTACGGGGCTTGGCCTAACTCCACCCTGCGCTGAAACGGGGACCACGCAGGAAGGATAGAGAGCCCCAACATCAGGCCTCCCACGGAAGAGGGCCGGCCGGAGTATGCGGTCTGAGCAGTCTCTTACTGGCCTGGGGTCCTCTCCTGCTTCAAGTCTGCTTCTGCTGTCCACACACTGTAGTAGTGTAGATGCTGCTTCAGGTTTGGACCCAGTTCCTTTGGCCAGCATAGACGGAGCATCTCCTTACAATGCTGCTTCTTCCTAGGGCCTGCGGGGTGTGTGGGTAGGTGCCTCTGCTTGTCCCAGGCTGCCCCCAGCTCTGCCCAGTCGATAACTGAGTTTCTTCTCTTCTTCCCCAAGAGTGGACCAGGCCATCTGCGGCTGCCACGCTCGGGGAGAGCCCCACCCCACCCCCGGTGTCCTCCGGTGCAGAAGGTATGGGCGGGCAGGGCCTGCGACAGGCCTTGGGTCCCGGGAAGCTCCTCAGCTGCTCAGGCCCCTCTTAGTGCAGAGAGCAGGTGTGCGCGGTGGGGACCTGGGGTGGGAGCAGAGCAATGAGGCGAGGGGCCTCGGCACTGTGCCCCAACTCCCCAAGCCTATGTTCACTCTGAGGGCCCCAGGTTGAGTGGAGGGCCCTTTCTCCAGCCACCTGTCCTCAGGACACCCGGGTGGCTGATGGAGCCCAGAGACCATCAGGGAGGGCCTCCTGCCGGAGCTGGGCCAGTTAGACCCCTCCTCCGATGACCAAGAAGGGGGCACATTCCAGGCGCAGGACCAGTGCAGGAGAGCTCAGGGGCTGCCGTAGGCCTGAACGGGGGACGTGCATCAGTTACACAAGGGCGTGGACAGGTCGGGGCAGGGACTGCCCACCAGGCCAGGAGTCTCCTCCTCACTGGGAGGAGACGGGGCTCCTTTGTAACCACAGGTGGGTGTGCACAGGACACACCTCACCTGCCCGACTCCAACCGGGGAGGTGACCCCTGGCCCTCACCTGTTGCCTGGACTGAGGCCCCCATGCCTCGCAGAGGCAGCAACCCTGTGCCACCCACCCAGCAGCTCACGTTCCCCTCCAGGCCCAACGACAAGCAGCTAACAGGGCTTTGAGCACCCTCTGCTGGCAAGAGTGTCCAAAGTGAGGACCGCAGTTAGCAGGGCCGATGTTCTGTTCCTAGCAACCTGGAGGCCCCCCCAAGTCCGCCCCTTGCTGACTAGAGCCATCAGTTTCTGCCCTGGATGGGCTGGGGTGCCGCAGGCCCCAGAGGGAGGTCGAGTCAGTGTTACCCCGATAGTAGCGTGCTCACCCACAAATACGGACCCAGGGCCTGCGGGATTCTGGGCCACGGAAGGCAGGTATGTTCTGTGCTCAGGGCTGACACCACTTGTGAGTGGGAGCAGGGACAGTGAAGGTCATGCCATGGAGTACAGACATTGCTTCCAGAAGGAGGAGGGGTGCCAAGGCTTCCGCGCTGCCTTAGACGGGGTGTGGTGCCCCAGGAGTGTGTGTGTTGGGGGGAGGGGGCAGGGAAGGTCGCTCGGCGTGACGTTTTCATCCGTTGTAAAGTGATTCGGCATCAGCGAGAGCACAGCGTGGGGGCATCGGGGGATATAGAAGCCATTTGGGGGGACAAAGCAAGCCAGATGTGTGCCTGGTCTTGGGGTGGGGACCAAAGGCAGGACTGTCCTGCATGCTGTGTCACTTCCAACAAGGTGCCTCGCCCCTCCGGGCTCTGAGCGGGGGGCCTGGCTCTCAAATCGGGTGTTGGCGCCTCGGCCCAAATCCGAGCAAGGGCAAGGCTGCCCCAGGGCTGGTCCGGAACACCTTGGAAGCCTTCGTTTGGCTTTTCCCTGGGCCCGGGCAGCCCTCCAGGAAGACGAAGGCCTGTTTCTCATCTCTCCAAGCTGTGGGCACCTCCACCACTGCCCCTGCCCCTGTCCATGCCAAGGTCTCCAAACTTTTCCAGCTCAAGCCCAAATCTCCTCAAGTCATGCCTATTGAAGAGTTTCCAGGTAAGAGAAGAGCCAGGCTGCATCAGTCCCCGACCTCTCTCCCCTGTTTCCGCTTAACATCCGCTCACAGAAGCCTCCCGAAGGAGTTGGGTCAAGGTTACCCCAAGTCCGTCTTCCTCCAGCCCTACCTCCCTAGGGGCGCTGGGAGCAGATATGAGTCAGAAGCCAAGCTGGGCACAGTGGGCTGGCAGAGCAGCTGCCAGAAATAGCTTGTCCTGACTCCCCTGGGAGGTGTGTCCAGGGGCTCGTGGTGCGGCAGAATCTGGGGCACACAGGTCACTGACGCTGCTCCTCAGGCCACTTGGAGAAGGCTCACCTCCCGTGTCTCGAGGGGTGAGGTGAAGGGGGCATGAATGCCCACAATCCCTCCTGGGCACATCTCGGGCCGTTTCTTCCTTGACCACTGAGCCTGGGTCAGTCCCTCCTCCCCGTCACACAGGACGCTGGGCCTGTCCAGGTGCGTGGCCACTGTTTCCAGGGGTGGCTGTGTCCTTCCTTGTCCAGGCAGCTGCCATGTCCTCTTGCTCAAGGGGGCTGTGAATCCCCCAGGACAGACACCAATCCCTCCTTGTGGCACGAAAGGTGACCCTCCTCACCAAACCCCACTTCGTGATGCTGTTGCGTGATGCTGTGTCCGTTTCCTGCTGGTCCTGCCCCCTGTGGTCAGGGAGCTTGGCCAGTCTGATGTGCAGAGCAGATCGGGCAGGGCTCAGCCTGAGAACCACGCAGGCATGGGGGCAGAGGAGGCAGTGGGACAATGGGACAGGGTGGGAAGGGCTGTCCTCAGTATGGGGCGACGTGCCCCCAGAAACAGTGAGGGCAGAAGCTTCCTGGCCAGGGTCAGGGGAGGCAAAGAGACTCCTAGGAGCCAGCAACTGTGACGTTCACTCTCGGGGGCCTTCCAAACAAGCGGATTTGCAGGGAGCTCGGGGAATTAGAAAGGGCCCCGTGGGTAGGTGGGAGGTTTTTCCTGCAGCCATCTTCCAAAGCAGCAGGAGGAAGCTCCTGGTGTGTCCAGTCTGGCATCCATGCATGCTTTCATCCATCCGTGGGATTGCCCAACATGGAGAGCGTCGGGAAGCCGG